TTTAATGTTCTTACATTTAAAAGTCATAATGGCAGAAAAGAATCTGTCCCTGGCGTGCTTAAAATCTTCAGGGATATATTGGTGAGCAGACCAAACACAGATGCATAAATACATAAATCAAAGGTTGGATGTACACATGATACTGTCATTAGATTATTTCAGATTTATGCTAAAGAAACTATTTTGAATGCACTTCTACAAAGATATACAAGTTATTTTTTATAATCAGACTTGCAATCAAGCTCTTTTGTTTTGGAAAAGAATTAAAAATACATCTTCAAGGAGGTAATTGAGACCTTTTATTGTAGTATTTTGCCAACAAAGCTGATGAAATTCAACCATCTTTACTTTTCATGGCAGGGTTTAAAGTACCTGTCTTGTCCTATGTCTAATACTTCAATGAAGTGGACAGCCTGCTCTCCAGAATGAACCCAACCAAGTTTGGGTTCGTTTTGTGTGCATCATGGGAAATTTGGGCTGTTCCTAAGGCAGATGATTGGCCACATCTGGCAAATGGTCAATATTTCATTGCAGGAATAGGTAATGTCAGTAGCCTTGAAGGTGGCTATTGTATATCTTCTTCTTAAGAGGCCTCCATGGATCTAACCATACTTGACAACTATCACCCAGTCTTGAACTTGATCTGGGATCTGAATGGAATGCAACACAATAAAGCTGAATCCTGGCAGGATGGAGATACATAATTAGCCGAATCCTGCAGGTGTGAAGGAGGTAGTTAAAACCTTGCTCTTTCCCTTGGTCTTGGGGTCAGGTTGCGCTAAGCCCCAGCCTCAATTTCCATAAAATACTTTTATGTAGAATGTTTTAATGATACATGTTGTTTAATATTAATGTTTTTTTCCTTTTCTTTGTTTTTCTTTGCAGTTGACTACATTTATGCATATAGAGGGGGAAGGAAAGGGAGAAGATAGTTAAGATGATGAGGTGGAACTAGCAGCAGGCCACCTAGCACACATACAATACCTTGGTCATCTGGAACTCATGAAGAGACAGCTGCATTCAAGTGCTACCAAAGGGTAAGACAGATTCTGAAGATCCAGTTCAATAAGAGGAACAAGATCCATGCTGTCAATACGTACCTCCTGCCAATCATCAGATACCCTGCTGATACAGTGAACTGGCAAAAAGAGGACATGGAGGCTGCCAATGTGAAGAACCAGAAGCTCTTCACAATGTACAAAGGTTTCCAACCCAAGTCCAACACTCAGAATAGAATAGAATAGAATAGAATAGAATAGAATAGAATAGAATAGAATAGAATAGAATAGAATAGAATA